AGAATTTCCTACTATTTAGTAACTAAATTAAAATCTGTAAGTGGTAGGCAACTGCATATAATGCAATGATATATCCATAAGCACTGAAATGACTTAGAACATTTTATGTAATGAACATTCTAACATAATAATAACGCAGTTAAGCTTGAGTATGGGGAAATAATCTGGTTAGATATAGCCATAAAGCCTGAAGGATACTCATCTTTATTTCTGAAGAAAATACTTAAAAGGTAGATGCTTCTTCTCAAGGCAGTGTTGCTTTAAAAGAAGTTAGGTATGAAATTTTCACTCAAGTAACTGTATTTATGAACTGATTGCTTACTATTTCCAGATGTTTTGCTAACCATTTAACATAGCTTATTTCATTTAATCTTCACAACAATTGATCAAAGTATTACAAACTTTCTCCATATCAGAACACTGAGATTCAGAGATGTTAACTTGCCCAAGTTCACACTTTTGTGTTAAGGTCAAGTAGGAAATAAAATCGAGTGGGCATTAGGCAGCCACAAAAGATGGCAGGATTCTGATGTTGGACTTGATGGCACAGACACATGGGTATAACTGGAGATTTCTGAGTAAGAGGTCAATTCAGTTCAGTTCAACTAACAAGAACTGAAAACTTACATGTAAGGAACTATAGAGAAGCATAGTAAGATGAGCAAAATATGATATTTGCTCTTTAAAGTTTCATAAGTATAGTAGGAGGTATGCTGGTAGCTATACGAAAGCATGCATATGTTAAAGACTATAGTATAAACACAGAAATACTCTGAGATTACTTAGGAAAACCCCATTTCTGGTGGGGAATTTCTAAAAATGGTAAAAAGAAGGTAACATTAGAATTTTTATCCAAAAGTAAAATGTGATTTTTGAGAGACATGAGGAGAAGAACATTCTTGGTACAGAAAATAATGGAGCTCAGAGGCCTAGAGTTTACGTGGGTGAGGGCAGGATGGTGGAAGTAGAAAGGGGCTGGATGAAAAGGGGAGAGGACACAAAGAGAAGAAAAGTTGTGGGGTCAGAGTACTGAAATTTTCGCCTGAAGGTCCAGGCATGCCCCGGACACTCCATGTAATGAACTCTGTGTTTGTTCTCAGAAGACTACCTGTGCTGTTCATCATGGAGGTGAAATGTAGCTTATGATCTGCTGGAGGAAGAAATAGTAAGAGAAGGAGGGGTTGCATTACAGGGCATTAAATGTGCTGAAAGGAATTAAGTTCAACAGGCCACACGTTCTTGGGACTGTTGGCATTACTCTTCCTTTCCCTTTCTAGCTACTGGTACGCTACCAATCTTTCCGTTCCACCTTCTCTGTTAAGCTTTTCTCTGAGCCATTTTAAGGAAGACTGAATTTGAAATTTCTTTTTATTCTAATAGCATTTTGTTTAAATGTAAGTTTGAGCATTTATTAAGTTTTTAAAATTTTATTTATTTTGAGAGGGGGCAGAGGACATGAACAGTGGAGGGGCAGAGAAAGAGAATCCCAAACAGGCTCTGCACTGTCAGAACAGAGCTTGATGTGGGGCTTGAACTAACAAACCTGAATCATAACCTGAGCTGAAACCAAGAGTCAGACGCTTAATCGCCTGAGCCACCCAGGCATCCCAGCGTTCAAATTCCATTGGTGTGTAAATATATGTGGTTCTCCATAACATTGTGAGTTTCTTGTGGGAAGAACCATTTCACTGACAGTTAATCCAATGTGGACACAGGTGCACGAATGGTAAGTAGATTGGCTTGTCTGGACCATGGAGAATATAAAAGTATAGTTTATAGTTCCTATAGTATATGGTATAAAAGTATATAGTTTATATCATTTTTTAAAACCCTAATATTTTAAAATCATTTATTGAGCTCTTATACACTAACCTTATTATACAAATTAATCCTTTCCATAAACTTGTTAGGTAGACATTATTATCTCCATTTTTTTTTGTATGAGGAATTCGAGGCTTAGAGCAGCTAAGAAATTTGCTCAGCAGCATTTAAGGAGTTGCCTGACTCCAATGCTCGACCAGAATGAGTATACCATACAGTAGTGGTGCTTAGTTAGCAAGCATCAGAATCACCTGGAGGGTCAGCCTGACTCAATATTATGGGGTGGGACCCAAGGATTTACTTTCTAACAAGTTACAGGTGACATTGATGATGTTAGTCTGGGGACCTTATTTTGAGAACCATTACCAGAAAGTCTGGTTTGAAATGTTGCCCATAAATGATGTGTGTGTGTGTGTGTGTGTGTGTGTGTGTGTGTGTGTGTGTGTGTGTGTTTTCAAAGTATTCCTACATGATACTAGCGTGAAGCTGGTAGTAAGAACCACTGATCTCGATCATGAAGAGCCCTTCATGCTCATTTGATTTTGTTATGGCACCAGTTGACAAGTGAGAAGAGTGCGTGATGCTTATGCTTTATGATTATGAGGAAAAATGAATTAGCAGACATATTAGACCAGATAAGATTGGGTGGGGGGGTGCACTGGAAGTTGAATCTTTCCCTCTTTTCTGTCATCTTGCATACCAGAGCCAATCAGATCTTCCTAAAACATTGCTTTCATCCAGGCGTTATTCAAGTATGTCTGAAAGCTCCCAACACACTTCCTTTCAAGCTCTGTTTTACAGTAACACTTCAATTCTGATCAAGGCTTTCATCTGCCTAAGGTGAACACTGTGTTTAGTTCTCCTTGATGATTTTGATGTGTGTGTCCTCCTCAGTTCTGCCAAATCCTACCTGTCCTTCTAAGCTCTCAACTTAAAAAAACAAAACAAAATAAACAAAAACCAAAACAAAAACACATTTAAATACAAAATTTAACACCTGGTAAAAAGCAAATAGCATGGACAGGCTCATAAAGAAAGCTAAACCCTTCCTGGCTCCCTAACCCCCTCAACTACTTGCCAGAGGAAAGAATTTTCTTTTAGCTATTTAACTCTCTGTGTTGGTGTTTTGTGATCAACAATTTTAGAAACTGCTTATTTCCTGCCCTGAACATAGGATAAAGGCTTCTCACACTCTTCATTTCCCCTGTTTATACTCTCTCTATAGTAATATTGTATTTAATCAAGTCAATTTTCCTTATTATGACTATGTGAATGTTGTTCTCTTCAGATCTAAGTAAATCACTATTTTCATTTCATTTTCTGATGTTTGTTTTTTCTGAAGTTTCAGATATTCTGTTTTTTTTCTTATCATGGTTTCCTTCTAATAACTTTTGACTTCTTTTTCACCCCTTTATCCTATCAGGTTTTTTTTTTAAGTTTTAAAAATATTTTTCTTGGTGTCCTTGTGGACTCTTTTTTTTTTTTTTTTCCATGTGGGATGGTTATCACCAAACCTGCCATAAAGTAATAATCTTAGAACTTCCCTCAATACCTTCCTAGTTTGAGTCAACTGATTTTTTTGGGTTTACCTTTTCAGCTTATGTCTTTGGGTTTACGTTTTCAGCTTGTATCTTACTCCTTCCTTTTCCTGGAGCACATTCCCAAATAACTTCCCAAGAAAGGGTTTGTGAGAGGAAACTTGTATGAGTTCTTGCATGTCTGATAGTGTCTTTATACTTAGACACTTTATTTATAGTTTGGCTAAATTCTACAGAAATCAATATTGAAAATCAAATTGAAATTTGATGGCATTGCTCCATTTTCTCCCACTAGGGTTCAGTTGTTGAGAAGTGGCATTCTAAATTTATATTCCTCCATTAGAAAATTGGATATTTCTTCTTGCAGGAAAATTTTAGAATCTCTTCTAAATATCGCTAGGATATCTCCTTTTATGACCATTTTCATTTGTTTATTAATATTTCTGTTCTTTTAGTAGGGTATTTAAAGATGGGAACCAATCTCATAAACTTTGGAAATTTTATTTCATACTTTGATAATTTCCTTCTATCCATATGTTCTTTCCCTCTTTTATCACACGTAGAAACTTCTAGATCACAACTTTTATATAGTTTGTCAGACTTTCCATCTTTTTTCCTGTTTTGCTTTGCCTTTTGATTCTAATTACATTTTATCTTTTAACCCATCATTTAAGTTTTTATTTCATTAAGATTTTTAATTTTCAAGGGTTCTTTGTTATTCTCTGACTACTGTTTTTTTTTATAGCACCTTATTTATGAGTTACAGACACAGCATAATGGTTAAGGGGTTTACAAATGTTTTCAGTATTTTTTTTCTCTGTGGTCATATATTTGGACTGTTCTTATTTCTTTCTTACACCTTAACATTTTTTGCAAGTCTCATGATTGTGTTTATATTTAGAAGAAATACCTCAAAAAAATTGAATGATGATTCTGTGTTTTTGGAAGTAGCTCATGGATAGAAGGGACTATTTTGAAGTTATTGTTTGGGGAAGTTGACACTTATGGTTAGGGTAGTGCTATTTGTCAGAATGTGGTGGTTTTTCTCTAAGCTCATTCAGTTTTTCCAGAGGTGAAAACATTCATTCATTCTCCTTTCCAGGGTGTAGAGACAAGTTGTTAGTGTTTTGTGTAATACGTGGCAAATGAGTCTAGAGTTTGTGGGGGCTAATTGACCTCTTTATTAACTGCAACCTTTTATGAAAGTCCTCTAATATGTGGTTTTGTCCACATCAGTTATTATTTCACTACTGTTTAACATCTAAACCTGTCTCCTGCCAATGGATCCTCTCCAGATTCTATGCTGAGCAACTGGGTAGCATAGGTGGAATGTTTCCCGGGCATTCCCTCAATGTGGTTTGGTCATTGTTCCTGCGTAAGTAGCACTTGTTATAGGTTCATAATTTTTTGTTTTATTGATATTATTTTAGTAAGGTACTCGGAAGAACACAGGATTGTATGTGTACAATCCTGATCTTTAGCCCAAACTTAAGGCCCCATAGTACTAAATTCTTCTATAAAATCTTCCTTTCTTGACTTCTTTATTGACTCTGATAGATCTCTCCTCAAAATTCTGTTATAGTAAATTAATTTATTTTACCATTTATAATACTTTAATTTTTTTCTATATGTTAATTACAGATTTTTGAACTTCTGGCTTACACTCTCTTTGAATCCCCACGGCACCAATACATAGGCTGGATAAGTAGTGAATGACTTGAAAATAATTATTGATTGATAGGATCCAGGAACTGAAGAATAAAAAAGATACACACATGACTCATAGTAGAAGCCTTGGTTATTGGTAAAATAACAGTAATATGGGCAAAGAGAGAAGATGGGAAGGGAAGCCAGTGAATGTAGAGGACATTTGTCAGACCTTTTTATTTGCACAGAATCCCTGAATACCCTTTCTAGTTTGACAATAGAACTTACCTTACTAGTCCCTCTCTGAAGCTGAGGGTAGTAATTCACTTTCACAACTTCCCTTACAGATATGATATAGTCATGCAACTGAGGTATCACCAATCAGATAGCTCTCAGTGAGATTTCAGTTTAGAAGTGAGCAGTGGGACAAAGGAGGCCCAATGAGTAAGTCATTTCAGGTGAAGGTGGTGGCAGGGATATCTGGCCTTCCAGAGCATCAATAGAATACATTCTAGTGTCCTGTCCTGGGTGCCCTGGGCTGTGTAGGTGGGGTCTTTTCTGGGTAGTCCTTCAGTTTGGTTTGGGCATTGCTCCTGATTAAATAGCCTCTAAGCCTCATTGTTAGGTGATCTTGGACACTCTATGTGCATTCTTTAAGAATCCATCTGTGTCCGCTTGTATCCAAGAACTATAAATGATAAAGGAAACAAAAAATATGTGTGTGTGAAATGTGTGTGTTTATTTATTCTATAAAATAATACAAAAGTAGGTCTCATAGTTTTTTTTGAAATATGTAAACATGTAAAACATAATCCAAGAAAAACAGGTTTCTGACAGAAAGTGGAACCCAAAGTAAAAGGACAATAGAGAGGTATGTTTAGCATCAACCATAGTCATGGAAGGGAAAGGAAACATGTACTTTCCCATTTTATAATAATACAAAAATGGAGGGAACAAGGAGTACTCATCTAATTGGTTCTGCAATAAAATGCTTTTATAAATATATTCATCAAAGCCTGAGTATTTGAGATCTCTTTGGGGATTGAGCACATTACTTCTCCCACTAATTCTTGTCAGGTTAATGTTGGTAGTAAATTATGTAATTGCTTATTGACCTTCCTTCATTTCCCAACTACTTGGCACTGCATGGAAGAAACCATACTCTGAGAAAAGGCAAATGCTTGCTCTCCTTTTGCCGTGATTGAGTTGCTCGAATTAAAACAGCCAAGGAAATAAGTTGCTTCAATTGGAACTTCTGTTTCTATTGTGGTACAGGAAGGCCTGCCCAAGCCATGAAGAGAAAGGGAGAGATAAGGAAGTTAGTGTATATGTCATTACGGGAATATGTTAGGTAGAGTGTGGGGATGGGAGTATGTGCAAGGAAAATTAATTTAGGTTAGTTTTGGACATGTTGGAATTTCAACATGTAATGGATAATGAGGTGTAATTAGGAATTTGAAACCGAAACTTGGGAGAAAATTTATGCCTAGAGACAAATGAGAATCATTCATAAGAGGTGATAATTGAAGCCAGGAGAACTGATGCTATTTCCAAAAGAAGAGAGTAGAGAGACACAACAGCGGACCTGCTACTGAGTGGGGGAGAAAACCCCTATTAAGGGCTATTGGCAGAGGAAAAATAACCAAGAGAGAATAATGGAATAATCATAGATATAGTATGAGAAGCAGAATGGTGTATCCATGCTAATCAAGGCAAGTTCAAGGAAATTCTTTAAAAGAGCCCAGTGCTACAAAGTGGCAAGATCCTCAAGAACTTTGCTTTGTATTCTAATCTGTTTCTTTCATGTTACACAGGAGAGGCTCAACAATTGTTTGTTGGATAATGACAATGGTTCAGGAATATAAGAATTAGGAAAATAGAGTAGTTATCTTTTTTCTAATGTTTATTTTTGACAGAGAGAGAGAGAGAAAGAGAGAGAGAGAGAGAGAGAGAGAGACAGAGCATGAGCGGGGGAGGGGCAGAGAGAGAGGGAGACACAGAATCCGAAGCAACCTCCATGCTCTGAGCTGTCAGCACAGAGCCCGACGCGGGGCTTGAATCCACAGACCACGAGATCATACCTGAGCCGAAGTTGGACGCTCAACTGACCGAGCCACCCAGGTGCCCCCACTTTTTTTTTAATGTTTATTTAGAGTAGTTATCTTTTAAGATTTTAGTAAACTGGAAAGAGAGAGGCACAGGTTTCAGGGATTTAAGAAGAGAATGAGAATGTAGTCTTAGAGATAGTCAACCTAGCCCACACATTTGCAAAATTTAAACTGAGAAAGGAATATATAAAATAAAATTATCTAAGGTGCAGAAGAATCCAACAAAAACATTTTATAAATTGAAATAGACCTTTATGTGATTAAGTGTGCAGAGGAGCCAGTAGAAATAGAGGAATTTAAAGTATTGCAAAAAAAAGTATTAAATGAAGGAAGTGCATGTATCAAAAGTCTTTTTATCTAGAAACAGAATTTATAGATATATCTTTTTTTATATAATGGATGAAAAGAATTGATATCTGATCTACTTCAAGTCAGAGTGAAGTGTAGAACCTTAGACCATGATTTTGAAACTCCAAAACACTCATCCTCCTCATTTTATAGAAAAGATCCCATGAACTATGTTTGATCTTTAAGACTGATTTAGGTTCAAGTATTAGTCTAAGATCACTTTCTCTTTGGTTCACTAATGTACTGAACAATTCAAGAGATACACACAAAATCAAAGGCACAATGAGAGGGAGCAACTTCTTGATGCTTCTGTTTCTCAGGTGAGGTACAGGCTGACACGCAAATTCAGTGAAGTTGCAGGATACCAAATCAACATATAGAAATCTGTTACATTTCTCTACACCAAAAATGAAGCAGCAGAGAGAAATCAAGCAATTGATACCATTCACAATTGAACCAAAAAATTTAAGATATCTAATAACAAACCTAAGAAATAAAAGATATGTACTCTGAAAATTATGGCACATTTATGAAAGAAATTGAAGAGGATACAGAGAAGTGGAAAAACATTCCATGCTCATGGATTGGAAGAACAAATATTGTTCAAATATCTATACTACCCAAAGCAATCTACACATTTAATGCAACCCCTATCTAAATACCACAGTTTTCATAGAGCTAGAACAAACAGTCCTCAAACTTGTATGGATCCACAAAAGACCTGAAATAGGCAAAGCAATCTTGAAAAAGAAAAGCAAAACAGGAGGCATCACAATTCTGGACTTAAGTTATATTACAAAGCTATAGTGATCAAGACAGTATAGTACTGGCACAAAAACAGACACATAGATCAGACTAGAGAACCCAGAAATGGACCCACAACTATATGGTCAAATAATCTTCAACAAAGCAGGAAAGAATATCTAATGGAAAAAAGGTAGTCTTTTCAACAAATGGTGTTGAGAAAACTGAACCACAACATGCAAAAGAATGAATCTGGGGCACTTTTCTACACCATACACAAAAATAAATTCAAAATGGATGAAAAATCTAAATGTGAGACAGGAAAACATCAAAATCCCAGAGGAGAACATAGGCAGTAAACTTTTTGACATTGGCCATAGCAACTTTTTATTAGACACATCTCTGGAGGCAAGGGAAACAAACAAAAGCAAAAATGAAGTATTGGGACTTCATCAAGATAAAAAGCTTCTGTACAGTGAAGGAAATAGTTGACAAAACTAAAAGGCAACCTTCGGCATCGGAAAAGATATTTGCAAATAGCATATCAGATAAAGAGTTAGTATCCAGAATCTATAAAGAACCTATCAAACTCAACACCCAAAAAACAAATAATCCAGTGAAGAAATGGGCAGAAGACATGAATAGACACTTTTCCAAAGAAGACATCCAGATGGCCAACAGACACATGAAAAGATGCTCAACACCACTCATCATCAGGGAAATACAAATCAAAACCACCATGAGATGCCACCTTACCCCTGTCAGAATGGCTAAAATTAACAACTCAGAAAACAATAGATGTTGGCAAGGGTGCAGAAAAAGGGGAACCCTCTTACACTGTTGGTGGGAACACAAACTGGTGCAGCCACTCTGGAAAACGGTATGGAGGTTCCTCAAAAAGTTAAAAATAGAACTACCCTACGATCTGGCAATTATACTACTAGGTATTTACCAAAAGAGTACAAAAGTACAGATTCAAAGGGATACATACACCCTGATGTTTATAGCAGCAATAGCCAAATATGGAAAGAACCCGAATGTTCATCAGGTGATGAATGGATAAAGAAGATGTGGCATTTATATACACAATAGAATATTACTCAGCCATTTAAAAGAATGAAATCTTGTTATTTGCATCAACTTGGATGGAGCAAGAATGTATTATGCTAAGAGAAATAAGTCAGAAAAAGACCATATGATTTCACTCATATGTGGAATTTAACTAATGAAACAGACGAACATTGGGGAAAATAAAGAGAGAGGGAGGTTGCTGGATGGGAGGTGAGTGAGAGGATGGTTTAAGTGGGTGATGGATATTAAGGAGGGCACTTGTGATGAGCACTGGGTGCTGTATGTAAGTGATAAGTCCCTAAATTCTACTCCTGAAACTAATATTAGACTATATGTTAACTAACTAAAATTTAAATAAAAACTCAAAACTCCAAAAAAAAAAAAAAAAAAGTAAAAGATGTGTAGGTGCCAAAAAACCCCAACAATGTGTACCTGCTCTGTAATGTCTTAAGAGTGCTATCAATTTATTTTTCTCTCACGGAAAAGTGTATAGGTGAATGGTGCAAGCTGTCAAGAGCAGCTCTGTCACCCAAGATGACTCAGGTCATCACCATTCCACAGCCAGTGACAGGGGATGGAGGATTCAAGGCAAACAGTTTGTACAAAGGTGACTCAGAAGTTGTATTCATCCCTTCCATTCATATCCTTCAGGCCTAAACTTAGTCATATGAGTACACTTAGCTACAAGAGAGGTTGGAAAAACAGTTCATAGTTGGGCACCATTTGCTGTTATTGTATTTTCAATTCTTTAGAGCCCTGGATAAATGTTCTTCCTCAT